ACTAAATATAAGTAGTATAATTATTTTAATGGAATATTGTTTCCTCATGAAGGCATTTTTATAATAAATAATCCATAAACTCAGCAATAATAATCTTTTGTTGATCGTTGTACATAGAGACCACAGATTATTCGACACACTAATTTATATTAAAATATACAAATATATTTATATAAAACCGCATATTTGTTTTACAAAGAATATGTTTATTAAATCACAAAATACCTAACGGCTATCGGCTATGTTTATATCAATAAAAATTTAAGAAAAAATACCGAAATTAAAAAAAAACACTTTCCTCTAAAAGCCTTGAACAGAGAATTTTTCTATTATAATAATGCAATTATTATAATTTTTCGCCAATGAAAAGAAAATGACAAATATTCACATTCAATTGTCGTTTGGAAAATTGTAATCGATCTGAAAAAAGACGTCTTTTATAATAGAAAATGGATGAACTTGGTCGACAATAAGGGATCTACCTGCTAATGGTGATTACTGAATTGTGCTTTACGTTTCAATTACTTCGAAGGTTTAACGATTTATGAGCGAGCTGATTGCAATGGCATAGCGTTATGACGCCCTCAAGCGCCCTTAATTCTTGCTCGTTGAACGATTCTTCAATCTTTTTCCCAATAGAAGTTACCGACATCCAAACGACAAAAGACTGAAATGGGCGTTTTCTTTAGAGATTGCAACCCTGTGCGCGATGAAGTTCTCATCATAGCGAGGGTGCATTTTTTTCAATCTTGTTTTTTCTAATTTACTTCTGACACGAGAATTTTTCAAATATAATACACAATTCATAATTTTACTAAACAAATACTTTTTGACATATTTTTATTCTAGATTTTTTATAATTTTTTATAATTAAAGTTTACTTGTACAAAAAGTTTTTCTCCATTAAAACTTTCTGTGAGAATGGTATGTAGCAAATTGACTTTTAACAAGTTCACGCGTTTTAACGTAAGGAACAACTTAAAATTCTAATAAGGCATTAGACGACAGAGAATGAGGAAACCAATTTGCGTTGCCATTACTATCGCCTATTAAATATACCTCATCATAAGACTAAATGTAGAAAGGGATGAGAATAGTGAAAAGATGGAAGAGCTTTTGAAATTATGACATTATTATACCAGATTGAAAATCACGTTCTAAAATAAAATTTTCGCTACCTGTGAAGGAGACAATATTTTTCTGCAGATACCAACTTAATAAATTTATTCTAACAGAATTTTTCTTCTACTTTTTCATGTCATTTTTTTTAAATGTGGAATTTTGGATATGATATCCTACAAGGCGACTTGTCCCATTTTACATAAAAGATCCTACATTATAGAATCTCTTACGGAAAACTGTATACATATTTTGTATTTCCACGTGGAAATTAACAATAGGATAAGCAGATATGCATAGACAATCATTAACAGCAAGCGTAACTCCAACGTAAGAGTTTGTGCATTAATTAGCAGGTAACACGTGTCGTAATGAGAAGAATCATCTTATATTCTGTTGGTTGTCTGCTTCATTTCACACGAATGCATGCGATAAGATTAAAACATCTCTTAAAGAATCTTTCTCATTCAGTCGTTCTAAAAGGAGAAACATGTATTTTAAAGAGTCGAGGCGAGTGAAAAGCTTTTAGAAAGCAGCAACCGTAATGACTTTCGCAACGAACTCTACTTTTATTCACTTATGAATGCACTGAACTTAGTTTTCTTCATCAATGACAAAAGTATAAGATATGAAAATTGTTCATTAGATAAAATCTAAGAGAATTATAGAAATATTCACATTTCCATGATTTCATGATTATGATTGCGCTCGATTTAAAAAATCAGATCATCGCATCATATTTCAATGTAAAACGTGCTTTATTATCATTAAATGTTCAGTTTTCTAAATCCTTTGTTTTTCATTAATTTGAGCGCCTTATTTAATATCGATTAATAATAAAGGAATCCTCTAAATTGTTAACTAAAATCAAAGTCTCGCGAAGTTCACCACATGATTCATACTCTCTAAATCTGAAGTGAAAATTTCGTTGTTTCATTCATTAATTATAACTAAAATTCAAAAAATAGACTAAAATTGTCAGATCCGTGGTCTCTCTCACTTATAACAAAAATAACAAAGAATAACATTTTTTATAGTTTATTGAAAAAGCTATAATTTTGGAGATTATATTTCGAATTTGTAATTTAGTTATCTTCCCATAGGTACAGAATCGGTACAACATTTTACAATACACATATTCATTACTTATGAAATGCATTGTAAATGATCGATAGAATTTCCCCACATGTTCCATAAATATCACATTTGGGGTTCAGCAAAATAGTATCTACATAAATCAAAAGCACCAACTCTAGAGAAATTAGTCCTTTGAGATATAAATGCCTTTTTGTTGAATAATTTTTCAAAATGATTTAATTAAATATTATTTTCAACAATTTCGTATTAACAACAATAAATAAAAATATATTGAAAACAAAATTTTAAAATTTAATTTATCCAGATTTATAAGTCTCTTCCTAAATTTACATAAATGTAAATTTCAATGTCAATTAAAAAAGAAATTGTATATTTAGTCGGTTTTAAAAAGTAAACTGAAAGAAAATTTGAAAAGTAAATGTAGAATTAAAAAAAAAATTAGAATGTAAAGAAAATTGTGCACTTTTTGTTGGAAATACTGAATGTAAAATGTAATGAAGAAATTTTGACAGGCGAAGATGAGTAGGGTAAAGAAAATTTGAAGTCGTGATGTAAGGGAATCTAAATGAGGCACCCTTTGAAACGATGATTAAAGGCGCTAAAAACTTTAGCGCTTATGAAGCGAAAGGACTTTAACGAGATAGATTCTGTTGAAGATGATTTGGAATATGAAAAACTAACTGCTGAATAAAAAAAAAATTTAATATCACTTGCTTACATTTTTTTTAATTCAGTACAACTCAATTATAAAGTTTTATCAGAATAGTGAAACAGAAATTTCTTTTTTACTCTTTAATATTATACGAAATTTCAAAATGAATACGTAGTTAAGAAGGATCCCTCAGTAATAGAATTAACAGAACATTTTTGACAATACTTTTTTTCAAGAGAATAATTTTAAAGTTATAATTAAAAAAAAAAAATTTCATAAAAAAATTTGTATACTTTTACAGACTTTAACTCTTTTTAGGATCGCTGATTGCGAATATGACATTGGTTCTCAAAAATTCAAAATGGCGGATCCAATATGGCGGACATTAAATTTAGAAAATGCTTGGATTTGCTTAAAAATTGGTATCCGGGGATTTTCGGGGTCGCTGATTACGAATATGACCTTCGAGTAACATATTTCATGTAAATTTTTTAAATTTGTAATAAATTTTTAGTTTAAATAGTCAACACTTTTTGTTATCTTTAAAGCAGAAAAAATTTTTTGTACGCGAATTGGGCTTCATCGTTTCTCGAATTGGAATCACATCACATTTTCAACACTCTTTATTTTATTTAATATTGACAAAATCACTTGACAAACAGTATTTTTCACCGTCATTGGTAAGCATTATCGCATTTCATTGTTTTTTAGTGTACAGCTTAATTTTCTTTATTTTCACGTTTAAAAAGTTTTACAAATTGGACCAATACCAATTATTTATCAAAACTAAGTGACAAATTTGAATTTATTGAAAATTTTAATCAATGATTGAAGCACTAATAGTTTATAATTTGTGTAAATTGAAACTTAAATCAATCAAAATTTAGGTAAATTGAAATTCGGATAATTTGAAACTTAAATTAATCGAATGTTTAATAATTTACATTTGGATCTAGATCTTTTCACTACTTTGCAATCAAAGTTTCTGAAAACTTTTAAACCACTATGTACTTACTTTAAGATAAATATATAAGTTATACCATTTTTTTCTTTCAATAAAAATCTTGTAATTATATAAACTTTTCCTACATCTCTTTATCTTTTTATAGTTCGATTACGAACTGCGGAGATTTGTATCTAAATAAATAAATTTAGTTAGATTGAAATTTTGTTAACTTAAAATTTTTGATCTATTAAATTTGCATTTAATTAAAATTTTAATTAATAATATAAATTTGTTTGACCAATAATAATTAAAATTAATTTAAAGTTGTATCACTTGAAATTTAAATAAAAATTTAGATTGATTTGAAATTTAATCAAAATTTAATTTAAATAAAATTATTGAAAAAAAATATTAGTACTATTCTAAATATTTAAGTAAACAAACTTTTCCAATAATTCTAATCTTTTTCGATTCATCGAACAATATCTTTTAATGAGTTTCAAGAAAAATAAATAAAAGGCACGAGGAAGGAGAAGGGGATTGACTAAATTTTATATATATGGGGCATTTCACGGGAAATTTTTATTCAAAATTTTATATATAATATTACAATTATATTATATTATATTATATATGGGGCATTCTTTTTTAAAATTATACCCCTAGTAAACAATTAACAATATAAGACAATTTTTAAATAATTATATCTCCTATTTAATTAAATCAAATTACTTTTGCAATGAGTAGTTTTGAAAGAAAAATTTCTAAACTTTATTATTGTAGAAAAAAGTTTTTTTTTGTTTACTAGGGGTATAATTTTAAAATAGAATACCTCATATTATATTACAATTTAAAAAAAATTTATCCCTTTAGCTCTTATAGTATTCGAGATATTTATAAAAATGTAGTGTATACACACACACGCACACAGAACGGCATTTTTAAAAAATGTGATTTTTGGATTCCTGAGGTCGAAAAACATAAATATACATCAAAAAATCAAGTTCGAAAAATTTCGGTATTACAGTGCTTTCTCCATGAGGAAACAATAAACAATTAATGAAAATATTCATTTTGAGAAAATTAAAATTAATTTTTTTAATCATATAAAAAATTTAGATTAAAATACTGACAGTGAAAATAAAGGTTAGAATAATAACAATAAGTAAAAAAAATAATTCTTACCTTGATCAATTAAACGAAGTGCATTTGGCCATTTGGATGAATCAATCTCCAATTTTTCTTGTAATAATTCACGCACATATTCTCCAGTTTTGTCTGCTTGTGAATCTTTATCATCTTTATCCAAAAGACTCCTTGGTTTGTCGGCATTATTATCATCACGATATTTATACTCGCCGTTACTTGATCTGTCAGTCATGATTGTTAGCGCGATTTAAAGCACTTATTTTATGTTTATAATTGTTGTTGTTTAAATATTTTGAATTGTTCAAAAAATAGTAAAATTCAGTTCTAAAGTCAACGACGCGGCTTCGCACAACCACAAGGATTACAATGGCGAGCAGGCGCAGTCATGGCGCAGTGATGAACGTGAAATATAGAAAGTATTCCTGTGACTTGCGACTCGATAACAACAACCAGTCGCATCAGCGCACCCAGCGGTAGATTTGGAACTAAAAGAGCAGGAAATTCAAAGTTAACACTATCTTTCCAATAACGAATCTTATATGAGAATAAAAAATTTTTAATTATTTAATCAATATTAATAGGAAAAATATATTGTATAACTAAATATATTCATTTTTACTTCTTTATACAAGACATTTTATATTTATCCCTTAAAAGTTATAATGTTTCATAACAATTTTTAAGATATTTCCCCAGTGGGCAAAAAACACCTTTCTTCTAAAAAAACGTTCTTAAATTGTTTTTTGATCGTATAGGGTTGAGTCGTACAACACGTTAATATCTATTAAATAGCAATTGTTGTGACAAGTTCCAACCTAGTCTCAAATTCTATTCTCGTTAAGAACTAACTTTTTTTTTATTAGTTCTCGTTACCTCCACTCTTAGTGTCTCTCCAGATTGTGATTTAAAATTTGATTCTAAAAGTTTTGTTGGCTTTTAGTATTTAGGTCATTTTTACTATAATGCAGTAAGGTAATTACAAACTTTAGTATATAAAAAAATCATTATCGGAATCTCTACGAAATAAGTTTACAATTAGTCATAATAATACGAATTTAGTTCGATCAAAAAACTTAATCCAAAATAATGAGTCCTGTGTATTACAGAATCCACAGTCATTCCGCCAAAAACAAATTTCAATTTATATTCTAATGCCAAATTAAAAATAAAATTTGTAAATGAATAAAAAATAAATTTGGCGTAGAAAAAAAATATAAAATAGAATCTGAACAAACGGAGGCAATTAACGGAGGCGCGGGACATCGAGATTTTTTTTTTTTGTTCTCTTTCATGTATGCACTTCCTTTCCTATACTTTCGTAAAAGGCGCATAAGCCGAGAATTTTTCGTAATAAGATTAACGCTTCATAAAAAGTGGTTTCACTGCATTAGCTCACAGAGAGCAGTGGCAAAGTAATTTTCAGTACGAAAAGCGCTCTTCAATAATTCAAAAGGTGCACTCGCGCCTTGGCAAGTTTCTAAGAATACGGTTGATTTCCGCATCTAGTATTCCACTTCCTCCCCCTTTTTTGGAGCAAAAGCAATGCTCACCTTAATATTTTAAGTTTGGACGAAATGTCTCATCTGACAATGGGACACTGAGTAGATACATTTTGTATACAATTTAGAATACATCATTCAATTCAATGTATACATCTACATTGATGAGGGACTATTTGAGTACTACTAGACGTATGAGGGTATATTTCTAATTAAATTTAGAATATTTTTAAATTGAAAAAAATTCGCAGATTCAAAATTAAAAAAGGTTCTAAAGAGAAACTAGAAATATATGATTTAGTCACCGTTTTTATTTAGGTTCTATGCAGGAAGTATCAATTTTTAGCAGTCGTTTTAGTAGAATCCATTTATAAATAATCGCCGATTATTTTTCAGAATCAAAATTCAATTCTGTAGAAAAATCTAATTACTTTTTGTTCTTCCTCAACATGGTCCTTTTATGGACCTCCTACCTCATGATAATTAAGATAGTCTGATTTAGGTCGGGTTCGAAATAAGGTCAATTACCCAGCAAATGAAAACTAATTCAGTCAAATTAAAATGAATACACCCTGGTCTTCAGTGAATCCCGCTTAGCGACAAATTCGAATTGGAGATATGTTGCAATTCACCTGAATTCGACAAAGCTTATTCAACTTCCAAACACTTTATTAATTGTGTCAATATCAAAATTCAAGATATTATCTCGTGGTCGTGAAACACTAAACAAGTACATGTTATAAGTGTGATCTAATCTTCCATGTGACCTTCCTGCGTGGGCTTTATTTCGAAGATCAGAAGGACTGTAATTGCTGAAATCAATTTCGCCTATATCCATTTATTATTTTATAGCTAGTCATAAAATGTCAAAACAAATAACCTAAACTGCATTGCGGTCTTACAAACAAGCACTAAAAATGGCACAATACTACAGAGAGGTATATTCAATTTCAAATTTCAATCGTGTGTAATTCCGTACGATGTTGCTAGTAGTATACCCACATAGTAGAAAAGCTTGCAGTAATGAGAAAAATGTCCTACCTCTACAAAGATTGCTGTAGGCTTACAATGAAAAGTTGTTGAAAACTTTTAATATTTGATTGATGCAAGATTTAAATGAGAATCACTAAGAAATTATATTTTTGTTACTAATAATAAAAAATAAATTACAGTTCAATAAAAAAATTATATTTTTTTAAAATAAAACGATTTTCAATCTTGTTTTAGTGATAGAGGGAATTAAAAAATAACAAGTTGATCCTGATAGTAAAAAAAGAGCATTTATCGAAGGCAGAAAAGTGTTACCATGCAAGCGTCTGTGAAATCTTGAAACTCTAATCGATAATTACCATCACTTAATCTTCACCGTCCTATGGTCGAGGGAACATTAAATGCTTTTAATAACCACAGCCCTTATCCGGTTGGACCATTTTCTCGTTATGATACGCGGCATTACTGCAAAATCTCTGGAAAATTAAAGTAAAGGACTTTTAAAATTCAAACATATATAAATTCTTGATATTTAAAAAAATGTTGGAAAAAGGAGCAAAAATAAAATTCGTGTTGTGATAAAAATAAGTCAGAAAATAATTCTTTACATTTTCACGGTTGGATTTTTTTTTAACTTCATCGTTTTTTAAATATGATTATTTGTTATAAAAATAATTTTCACTTTTCTTAAACAAATAAACATATTTTTAAAAAACGGTGCCTTTCTAAAAAAAATCCCAGAGGAATTATTTTCTAAAACCACCTATCGAAGTATTATTATATCTGTACTTGAATGTGCTTTACAATGGTGATTGCAAGCCCGAGCCATATCATCGGTGTGTTAGTATTAATTATAATTAATATTGGTCAAAACTTCCAATTACATCCCAACGCCATTATTAAAGAGAAAATACTCATAAGAGCAGATAGAATTGGGGTAGCATAGCAACGTACTTAAAGATAACGCTCTGCCAAGAAAAAAGAAAATTTCAGAAAAAAGAGACCAAAAGATAGATGGGAGGTAAATGGAACCTCGTAAAACTAAAGAATCAAAATCCAAGCTAGATGATTGAGAGAATCGAAGAATGACTAAGAGTCAAATAAATGCGAAAGTGTTACCGGGGGTCAGATGGTTGGCGTAAATGTGGGCGGGTTGGTTAAGTACGGTAAAGGCGTCTGCAAAAAGCAGGGATCTTGTAAGTCTCACTCTAACTTGGATATAGAATGTGAATAAAGTATTAAAAAGAACTTTTACTTGGACCATCACCGGAAATTGTCCTCTTACATCGCAAAACTATTAAAACTTATACTCGCATTCAAATGGAAATATCTTCGTCAATAATAAAGATAGAGGCTTTATTTCAATTGATAAGAATAATGATTTTATCACTCGGTTGATATAATAAAATAAGAAACATGAAGATAAATTGTTAAACAACTGACTTCTATTGATTCTAACACTAAAATAGGTTAGTTTCCATGAATCCATTCCCTGCCGGGTTATTAACATAAGATTTTATTCTTTCTTTTACTAAATATGGCTATTTTTGAATATTCAACTTTTATTTAATTAAGCCAGGCGCTCTCAATAATAATATACTAAATAGTTCGCCTTTATGATTTGTCATAAGTTGAACGAATTTTATACTCATTGTCCACCTACCTAATTAAAATACCACTCGGACGTAAAAGATTGATTAATTTATTTATTTAATCTGATATGTCCCTAGGGTTAATGAGCCCTATGAAGGATAGGTTTTTAACGATAAGTGAGTAATATTATAATATTTTCTTTATAAACTGTAACTTTACTTTATTCCATTATTATTAACAATAACAGGAAGGTGAAACATTATTATAGATAATTATTAAAAATTACTTATAGTTATATGCTCTGCATCGATGAATGGACCCATGACAGAAAAACGAGTTTTTGTAAACTGATTTGAACTTTAAATTAAACTGAATTTATAATAATTGAACTAAATAATATTGTAATTGGATATAAATTAGATTTTATTAATATGACAGTAACCACAAACTGTAACACAATACATACTCGGAAACTATCGAAAACTAAACATGTTGACTCGAAGAGGGCTGCATGACAAGAGAGAGAATTTGAAAACTAAATTCTTAATTTATATTAAAATTGACACTAGATGACTGCAATGATTTTCTTTAATTTTAACCGATCTAAGGGGAAGTCGGCGTCAATTTATCAGTCGATACTGGATCTTTTGTTTGAGAAGTCGCATTTTGGGAAATCTCATATTTTTCTAAGAATCGCGTTTCACGCTTTTATTGTATCTGATCTAGTGTTATTTGTAATAAATCCATTTATATCTTAAAAATAATGTATATCTTCAAAAGAAGCACGACATTTAATGAAAGAATGATTTGTATAACTCTGGAACTATTCAGCTATTACATTTTAAGGACAAGATAATTGTTTTTTAAACAAATGTTGTATCTTACGATTCCAGTGACACTTAATCTACAACACACGGGTATCTACCTGTAAATTGAACGGGACACATGCGTGTACACGGATTTAATGTAGTTTGTGCAATAATAGTTAACAGACAACCGACGGTGGCGCCGTTTATTCGACCGATAGACCCCGAGCGTCGCGACGCTTCAGTTTGACCCGCACACTCGTTGCAATTGGTTGTGTCGTACTGACGATAAAGTTTACGTACGACGTTACAAACGTTATTCTATTTTCTCGGTGGACGGGAAAATTTAGTATCTGATAACAGAAAACGATAAGCAATAGTCAATTAACTCTAATTAGTTAATTAATTAGCGACGATTATATTAACTCGTCTGTTAAAGTGTTTTTGAAGCACGTGTTTTCTTCTCCATGCTTGGCAAAGGGAAAAAAGAAATCTGTATGGAAAAAGTGCTTATATTTTTTTAACTTTATACATTTTCAATTATTACAAAATATACCATTATTTATTTTTTCTTCCTACTAAATAATTTATGGTGTATTAATTGAAAAGTTATTTCGTTTATTTTTAACAATTTATTTTATAGTTTCAAGTAATCAGTGACAGATTTGCTAAAGTTTGTGATTAATGGAATAAAATACATAAAAACTGCATTGTTGCAGTGAGAATAGCGGATACTCAGTCAGAGAAAAAAAGACCAAAATTTGTTGCTGCTATTAAAGGATCTATTTGATGATAAAAAAAATCATAAAAATAAAATAAATGTTTTTGAACAAATTGCTTAAAAAATACACAAGTTCTGGAAATACAAAGGAAAAAACAGTTGTATAATTAATTACATGGATTGTTATTTATTTTAGAAAAATTGCCTAAAAAGACGTTTCACGACAATTAAGGGAAAGACAAGACTTTTATAATGTTTTATAACCGATATAACATTTAACTGAAAATGATAAAAAAACTAAACACATATTACCTAATTTTAAATCTTAAATAATATAAAAATTTTTATGTAGCGAATTTTGTTTAGTTTTTGATGGTATTTTATTTTAAATTTTTATTTTAAAAAGTTAATTTTCAATTGTTAAAGTTCATCTAGTATTTGAATTACAAAAAAATTTTAGCTTTACAGTTACCTTCAATTCATAGTAAGACAATTGAAAATCAACCTTTGTAAGTAAAAGAATTCTAAATTAATTATCTACAAAACTAAACAAAACGCATATGCAAAACTTCAGACCAGATAAAATTCACTAGCAAAATTTTGAAAAGGAAGTTTCAAAAAAATTACAAGCTTGAAACCATTCGGCGAGTAAATTCGAGAGCATAAAAATTCAGATCATTATAAAATATTACAATATTTTAATTAAAATTTTACAATTATACTAATATCATTTTTTCTAAAATTAAAAGTTGATTATTACAAAATTACATTAACATATAATTGCAAATTAATGAAAATAAAGTGTAAATTGCAACGTATAAAAAGCGGAGTTTATACATGTAAAAATGTAATTGCGACCTACTTTTTTGAAATAGAAGAAAATTAAATTAATATTTTTTTAAATTCTGAACGTTCATCTAAACGAAAAATTTGTTTACCACGACTTTTAATACGAATTTCATTATAAAATATTGCTTTACGTATCAAAAAATAATTTAATGAAATGTTGAATTTTTATATTTTCATTGCATATAGTAGCAATTTTTAAAAATTATTAGTCCGAAAAAAAAGATTTCGTTCATTTGAATGTTCAAAATTTTAAGCACATCTAAATTACACATTTTTCTTTACTATTAAAAACAGAAATAAACTTTTATTATACGAGAGAGCAATTTTCATCGTGTTTAAATAATGTTTACTTCTTCAATTCGGCTTTAACGAAAAACTAGGACACCTACCTGAAATGTTTATTGTATCAGTTATATTAAGTTTTTATTATTCAAACGTAATAAGCGACTGGAATTTTCAAACTTAAATAAGAGAAGAAAAAAAATGAATTTTTAAATAATGGGCTCAATTTTAACGAATTACTTTAATCGACAAAGAAAATAATACTACAATTTAATTAAAATAAATAATTTTTTTGCAATTATAAATAGGTAATTATAATATAATAATAATAATAATTTAAAAATATTATTAATGATGCTGGTTACAAATTACATATTTTAATTTTATATTCAAAAAACAAGAGAACAAAAATTTTGACCTAAAAATTAGTAAGTAAATGAAATTGTGAAGAAAGAAAATTTTTTTTACACAATCTAGTTAATTAAGACACAAGCTGTAAAGTGCTATAAAAATTTTGTCTTCCTGGGTACTAGGGCACAAATAAGGTAAAGTCATTTTGTCCCCAGCTAGAATTTTCCAAAGTGTACTTCGATCGAATTTGTTAAAGACAAGAAAGAATTTATTTTTTAAATCTTAGAAATATTCTTAAAGTTAAACATAAAAATTTTATAATTTTTTTATCATTATTTTTTGAAAATATTTTTATGAATTATCTGCATTTTTATATAATTTATAAATTATGATAATATAGTAAAATAATTTTATTAATCAGAATGTTTGATTTTTCTAAAAACAAGTTAATATATTCAGAATGTATTCGATGATGAATTGTATACTCTCCATTACTGATTCCTGATTGCTTCTCATTTACTTGAGAATCGAGTTTATTTAGGTAACTTCCGATTCCGATCACAATAGTCTGCTGGTAAATAATGTTGTACATTTTCGTAATCAATTTCCAACACTCCAATCAACATATAAATTGGTCTCATGGATATATATGTAGCTAATAATGCAAATGTAGACATTTTTGAATTATATCTATTAATATAAATGTTAGTAAAATAAATTTTCTTAGAATCAAATCTTGTTGCCAAATTAGCTAAAAGTATATAGCATCAATAAAGATAAATTAAAATTTAAAAATTATTTTTCAATCAACAGATGTGTCTCGGATTATTTTGCTTCCTCGTGGAGGAAGCTTTGTAGTCCTTTCGTTTATAAAACTTTTCAAAGTGGCGGAAACAAATTTTTTTCTTTATAGAAACATGTTATATGAGATCCTGATCAATTTTCCGGATGTATGTATGTGTGTGTGTGTGTGGATCCCTTTTTTGTTTAGAAGATAACTTTAACAGGTTTTAATGGATTTAGATAAAATTTCGTAGGCTCATTTATCATATTAATATCTCAAATCTGACCAAAGGATTTTTAAAAATACCTCAAAAAAAAATTTTTATCGTCTTTTTTCCAAAAATTTTTTTTGGCGGTATTCCCGAACGATTATCTCGCGAATTTAATTTTTCGAAAATTTTTCCAAAATATTTTTGAGTGTAGCTCATCATCCACTAGACCAATCAAAAAGTGCGCCATACATTTTTGGATCGAAACTTTTTCCCTATTTTATTGGCGGTATTCCCGACCGATAATCTCGCAAATTTAATTTTTTGTAATTTTTTCCAAATTTGTTTTTTACTGTAGCTCAGCATCCGCTGGACCGATCAAAAAGTGCCCCATACATTTTTTATTCAGAACTTTCTTCTAACTACTTTAGAGATATTCCGGAGCAATTATCTCAAAAATTTAATTTTTCAAAATTTTTTCCGAAATTGATTTGAGTGTAGCTCAGCATCCGCTGGACCAATCAAAAAGTGCGCCATACATTTTTTGTTCGAAACTTTTTCCCTATTTTATTGGCGGTATTTCCGAACGATTATCTAGCATATTTAATTTTTCGAAAATTTTTCCAAAATCTTTTTGAGTGTAGCTCAGCATCCGCTGGACCAATCAAAAAGTGCGCCATACATTTTTTGTTCGAAACTTTTTCCCTATTTTATTGGCGGTATTCCGGAGCAGTTATCTCGCAAATTTAATTTTTCGAAAATTTTTCCAAAATCTTTTTGAGTGTAGCTCAGCATCCGCTGGACCAATCAAAAAGTGCGCCATACATTTTTTGTTCGAAACTTTTTCCCTATTTTATTGGCGGTATTCCGGAGCAGTTATCTCGCAAATTTAATTTTTCGAAAATTTTTCCAAAATCTTTTTGAGTGTAGCTCAGCATCCGCTGGACCAATCAAAAAGTGCGCCATACATTTTTTGTTCGAAACTTTTTCCCTATTTTATTGGCGGTATTCCGGAGCAGTTATCTCGCAAATTTAATTTTTCGAAAATTTTTCCAAAATCTTTTTGAGTGTAGCTCAGCATCCGCTGGACCAATCAAAAAGTGCGCCATACATTTTTTGTTCGAAACTTTTTCCCTATTTTATTGGCGGTATTCCGGAGCAGTTATCTCGCGAATTTAATTTTTCGAAAATTTTTCCAAAATCTTTTTGAGTGTAGCTCAGCATCCGCTGGACCAATCAAAAAGTGCGCCATACATTTTTTGTTCGAGACTCCCGGGTTAAGACTTTGGCGGTATTCCCGATCAATTATCTGGCAAATTTTATTTTTCGTAATTTTTTAAAAAATTTATCTGAGTGTAGCTCAGCATCCGCTGAACCAATCAAAAAGTGCGCCATACATTTTTTGTTCGAGACTCCCGGGTTAAGACTTTGGCGGTATTCCCGACCAATTATCTCGCAAATTTAATTTTTTAAAATTTTTTTAAAAATTTATCTGAGTGTAACTAAGCATCCGCTGGACCAATCAAAAAGTGCGCCATACATTTTTTGATCGAAACTTTTTCCCTATTTTATTGGCGGTATTCCCGACCGATAATCTCGCAAATTTAATTTTTTGTAATTTTTTCCAAATTTGTTTTTTACTGTAGCTCAGCATCCGCTGGACCAATCAAAAAGTTTAGAAGATAACTTTAACAGGTTTTAATGGATTTAGATAAAATTTGGTAGGCTCATTTATCATATTAATATCTCAAATCTGAACAAAGGATTTTTAAAAATACCTCAAAAAAAAATTTTTATCGTCTTTTTTCCAAAATTTTTTTTTTAATCGAAAAAATTTTTAAATGGAAAAATTTAAGGTTATATATAATAAAATCGTATTCCTTACGTCAAGACGAATCGATCGATATATATAAAGTATACATTTGAGGTAAATTTAAAGAATTAATGAAAGTTAACAAATCAGAAATTCACATTTTAGCAATAAAACTTTGCTTTCTCCACGAGGAAGCAAATTTTTTTGCTGATCGTAAAGAGGAAGCAAAATGTTCATGTAATGAACATCTGAATTTACAACTTGTTTATATTGTCACAATGGTTATAAAACCAAAATTACCCATTTTGCTTGCAATTTTCTAGGAACAATTTTATAGTCATAAAATATTTCAAACATTATTGAAATTGATCACCACAATGTTTTTGTTTAAAAGATGAAAAATTTTAACCCTAAGTATACAATTTCATTTACTTCTGAACTATTAACAAATAAAAAATTTTTCTTTTTGAATTATTTAAAACTATATATAGCAAAATGTAAAAAGTTTTATAACTTAAAATAAAGTTGTGAGGAAGGGAAAATTCTTTCTAAAGACTTTCTTTAATGATTGTGAATGAGAATACTAGCTTAACCTTCTATATGTGCCTCCATTATGTTGAATTCCCGGTTTTGTGATCCTAGATTCTGTGGCTAATGACTATTTCCAAACTAAGAAGGGTAGGACAGAGGGTAAAATGGGAATAAATGAGTTTGTATTTTATATCAAGTATGAAAATCGAGTATAATTTACTGTGTTCTTATTGGAACTAAAACTTATTACAATAAATTATGCATAATAATTATGAAAATTTTTACTATTTTAAATAATAAATAGTTAAATTAAATAATTTTATAAAAATGAAAGTAAAAAATACAATTAATCGAGGGGGAAATAACTTGTGAATTAAGGTGTACACTTGTGTTGAATTATCCTGATTTATCTTGAATTACATGAATTATCTAAAGTAATGTGAATTATCATGAATTACCTTGAATTACTTTGAATTATCTCGAATTAACTTGAAGTATATAAATTATCCTATATCTGTGTTATGTCATAATTATTCAATTAAAATTTTTAATTATTATTAATTTTTCTTAATCTAAGAACTTATAATTATTCCCTACTCTAATCCCTCAATTCAATTTAGTTAAAGAAACTAAGTTGGGGCGAAGTTATTAAATGAATGAACAAAATGATAATTAAACAAAAGATTATTTATTTATTATAAGAATGATATTTTCTTGTTAATTAATAATTGTTGTGAAAGGTTTTCCTTTATATAGAAACATTTTTGTATGTGAATCTTTCGGCGAGACCAGCTTAGCCTATAAAGGTTTTTTTCCTTATATAATTATTTAAGAAAATTGTCTATGTTTTACATATTGATTATATGAACTAATCATGATATTAACATTCATTTATATTACTTTTAATTTCTTTGAATTATCTCGAATTACTATAAATTATCTTGAATGAACTTGAATTAATATATCGGAGCATCCTAATATCATACAAAAACATACCACAATATTAATAAAATTAACAATATTTTGTTTATCAGCAATTACCCGAAAATAGAAGAGAGCGTGTTTCCTACAAAACGTGTTTGGTAGGCTGAAATATAGTCATGACACTTTGCTTCCCGTTGCTGGACATCATGCAGATCCTTATCGTTTACATTACCTAACATTATAATGCCATACAACCTGTTGAGTAAATTTTATAGCTTCTTTCTCCCTATCTTTTATCTATTTTAACTTATGAAAATGACTGAGACACTTATGACGATTTGATTACAGATTCATCCATTATTTTTAATTATAAGTAAATGTTGGAGAATTAGTTTTATGGCCGCCAACCTACGTCTGAATTTTGTAAACTAACTTAACTGTAGCAATAAATTTTCATCTGCTACAATTTCAATGCGTGTGTTTAATTAAATTACTAACGATATTGGAAATTGAATCTGTGGAAATAGAAAAATAAATTTCCTAAAGCATCACAAGATACATGGATGCCGATCTTTTGAAAAACACGTAAAAGAAGTAACGCGAAAACGAAAACTTCCGGAGCTTTTATCTTTGCCCATCTCCGTGCGCATCCAGGCGTTATGCTTTATCTGCCGGTGAATATCTTTCCCTTTCCTATATACGAATTTCCCGCCGCTGTGTGAATACTATTCTTAACAAGATTCTCCACGTTTATGAATTTATCAAATCTCGATGTACATTTATCAAAGATTTCATAATACGAGTAATAATATTTTATCTCGAGATTGCCATTTTTCAGTTGTGACATTTTATTTGCATTTCAAACAATATTACAATAACACTTTTAATCAAATAATGTTAAAATGATTTGAAATATTGGTTTTAAAACTTTACAAATACATATCATTCACTCCAATTCGAATGTAATATATAAATTGTTTTGATTCAGTTTTTGAAATCACGTAACTTTTAAGAACATAAATGAAATTACGTTACTTAATTGTTTTTTCAGATTGTATCGTCCTCAAGTTGAAATTAAGTTAAATAATACAATAAGATATAACTAATTACACTGAGATTTAATAAAAAAACTAAAGTTTATTAACTTTTTAAAATGCAAATATCTAGGCAATTTTTCTTAAATAAGAACAAATTTTAATCTGTCAATGTTTATTAATTATTTTTCATATATAATTTTTTCATATTTTCTTTATTTCTTTGATACATATTTATTAAGTTGCTAATGATTCATATTTAAATACTAATTCAGACAGTGAAAATCGTTAAATAAACTTTTAAGTAAGGGTTAATAAGAGATAAAAAAAATTGAAAGAACCTCTTTGCTTTTTAAAGCAAGCATAGTGACGGCAAAAAATTCGACTGCGTAAAACTAGAAAAGAGACGAATCAGTGGCTTGAAAGAGGCACTGCGTGAAAATGGATCTCGGAGAGGAGGAAAATAACGAAATTGTTGGAGCACAGCACTCACATCATCTGCACTACATCAACTATGGAAAACACGGTAAATCACTAAACTTTTTTTTCTATGAAATTTTTATTAAAAATTGTTACAAGTAATAAGCGAGACGTTTGTGTCGAACAAAAAAAGATATTTAAAAAAACAACGTTGTTTTCTCACTTTTACGCTATTCTATTTGTCCTATATTCAACTTACAAACAATGTATAATTTAATTCAAAAGATTCTTTTTAAAACACATTGGAAATTCTGAATATAGGGAAAAACAAAAAAATTCTTTGATATAGAATAATCGTCGTTTGAAAAGTAATTTTTTGGATTCATAATATTTTTATAACGCATAGTTATTTTATCTTGTAATAATTTTAAAGGAAAACCATTTTTTCTAAAGAAGAACTTATTAAAGCAGTGGACTTTTGTTTATCATCAGCATACTGTACATATAATAATCAATTTTATAAAAAAAAATTCGGACTACCTAGGAGATCTAAGATCTTCTAGTACCGCGAATTTGGCAATGGAAGATCACTGTTAGATTTCAAAAGTTCACCGCACTTATTAGTCCAACATCCGATTTTTATTTTCTGTAAGGTTAATGGAAGGGGAAACATGTCTCAAGTCTCCCTTTAGGATCTCTACGTCTAACAATATTGCTTGAATAATATTTATGGTACTAAAGTTAATGAGGCAGCAGCCTGGCATATGTATATACATCCTTAAGGCACTTTATCGCTCACTATATACAGAACAGCTATTGTGCCATAGTATAATGAGACTGCGAATTGCTGGAATTCCGTACTGACTTATTGAACTACTTCTAGTTTCAAAATACTTGGCTTATTATACTGTAAATACTAAGTGACAAAATGTACAATTTAACTTAAAATATATGGGTGATTCTCCAGAAATTGGTCATTTTCGAAGGAGACATTTTTTTAGAGTAATTGAAAATCTTATTTCTTTTCGCAATTTCCATTTATTAGCATCAAATATAATTGAAGTAATCATGCTACAAAATTATTTTAAAGGAAGACTTTCACTCATGAAGTAATTTTACATTATTTAAAAATTATTTCTATTAAGTTTACATTGATTTATAAAATTTATTTTTGTTACACCTTAATAAACAATTACAAACACTTAACTCTTAAAGAAAATTATACTTTTTTATTAAAAAAAAAACTAAGCGGAGAATTCGTATGAAAATAAATTAAATAAGTTATATATAGATAGAAATAAGTAAATAAAAGTTATACAGTCAGCATTCTCTTGCAAAATCTGAGGTACTAACCGAGCAAAAAGAATAAAAAAGTAACTCGAAAACATAGAGGATTTCGCAGTAACAAGAACTAAGTAGAAGGCAATAATCCAATAAAATATTGCCTTCTTTTTCCGCAGCTCTTGAGACTTATGGAGGCATCACCGCCCCAGGAGGGAACTTTGTAAATAGCCTGCTCAAGCTTCTAGGACCATTTTCCATCTACCACGCGATTTCAAATCGAAACGGGCATAAAGCATAGCTACACCTTTAAATTTATCACTTTAATAAAATTTTCTTGGTCCAGCATCATTATTTATAACACGCTCATTCTTATTGAAACTTCACTCTTTTCTATCACTTAAAGATTTATGAATTATTTCAACAAATGAGATTATTCTCTTAAGAATTACTATATTCTTTGTAAAATCTATTGAAAAAACCGAGGATTTAGAGAGACAATTGGGAGGTTTAAGTATTTACTAATTGATTACAAAAGTTGTTTTTTCTCCGCTGCACAATTCCAGCTGCAGTAGAATTTTCCTGGAAACCGTATTAATTCCCAGACGCCGTCTCGTTTTTTGTGAGATTTATTCTTGGATTAATGTCACTTTATTAGTACTGCATTTCTGACTCGAGCTATTTATAACAATTTACATATTGAACAAAATGTATATACAAGTTTTCTGCTACAAACAAATGAATATAGGGGAGATTTCTTAAAAATAATTGTCTGTAAAATATATTTACCCTAAAATATATTTCCGAGGAAAATTGTCAGCAGGAGTATTATCCAAAACACACCTGCCTTTAAACCATGATAACTCAGTCAACATATAAGTCAGCCAACACGTCGTTTATTTTCTTTAATTTTGAGTGATTTTCAGTCTAAATAACGTTATTTTTTATTGTGTTTTGATTTTTGTAATAAATAACATAAAATTCATTGAAGTTGTTATCATAAATTTTGGGATATAAAAAGACCACATAAAAAATTATGTCTCCTTTTTTAAATAAATATAAAAATATTTGACCATCACAATTTTTTATATCAGGCAAGCATTTCTATACCTTAAAGCAGGTCTGTTTTGTTATAACATCATATTTCCACTTGATACATATATGCATTAGAATTTTTCAAGTGGAAATAGCGCGCTACAGTCAGCCGTTAATATATTTCTTCAGTAGTATAAGCATGTAAAGACTCTTCCTTAAAAAGAAATGATGACTTCATTCATATTGTTCAATTAAATAATTTTTTATTTTAAAAAATAATTGTAAAAAAGTATATTGCAGACTTTGAATATATTTTTTTAAATAAAACCCTAATAAAAAGTAATCAATATTGAGTAAAAGAATGCAGAACATATATATTAGACTACTCTGACAGATATCCATTAAGTACTGTCAGAATCATTTAGAACCATCATTCGGAATTAATCGAACCATGTCGTCACAATTTATATCATATTCATGTGTTCATATTCATCATCATAATTTTATGTATTATGTTGTTAGAAAACAGTATGTTAAAATTAATTTTTAAAATTATAACATGATTAAACAGCAAATTAACAGTGATTTTCCTAGTTTAAAATACTAATATATTACCTAAACTTTAATACAAATAGTCTCACAGTGTAAAGCCGACAACGTCGTCTCGACATTTTCAATGTTGGGTAAACATTAAACCGATGGGAAATTTTCACGTGGGCACTACAACTTTGCAAAAGGTTTTGTAGTACTATTGTTTCTATATTGTGACAAAGTTCACGTGTTAAAAACTTGGCTGAACTTTTTCATCTCATTAGTAGTTGCTCTTATGCAATATTATTATTAATGATAGTGATTTTGTTTTTAAAAAAATAATTTAATTTCATCTTGGAATTAATTTCACAAAATAGGATAGATAGAGTTGAAGTAGAAACATCAAACAGTAAAGTACAGTTTGTAAAAAGTATACAGCGACCTTAAAAAAAATGTTTCTCTCGGTTAAAACTTTGTTTTAAGGAATGAAACTTTTTATATTTTATCATTTTTACATATTTTAATCTTCAAAAGAAGTTTGTTTCGTCTTTTTTAAATTTAGTGTTTTCACCACAAAAGTGGCGCTCTCAAAATCGTTAAGTCTATTTCAGGATTTGAAATAATTCTGTATCCATTAAATTTATTTTTATAATAAAATCAATCATAAGATGAATAATAAATTTATAAGATCTTAGAATTGTATATGTAAATCAATAGATATAAAAAAAATGTAATGAATAGAAAATAAAAAATTCAACATAACTATTAATACATTTAAGGGGTTACACCACTGTAGGAGGCTAAAATTTAACGTTATTTTATTATATTTTTTTCGTGGAAGGAGAAATAGGAAGATAATTAAATTGAAGGATATTGTTAGGCATATTTTTTTGTTTGTAAAAATACTTTTTTTATTTAAAATTCTTCGAAAATGGTTTTTATTGGAGGGGCACTACTGCACGCAGCACACAGGTTGCAAAAGTTAATCTGGAACAAAATAAATTTTTTTTCTTAATTTACATTAAAATAGCTACAGGACCATATATTTGACCTTCTAATGATATCTTTTAGTGAATTAGAAAAGTTCGAAGTTGAATTCAAAGGTATTATGTGGACCCGACGAGCAGGTATTCGGAATATAAAAATTCAAGTCATATCACAACGATATGAAATTGGTGTGTGGTGTATGAACGCAAAGGTGTAGCGTACAAACTGAATTTACTGATACATTCGACAGCCGATTGACGTTTATTATACAGGTTGAAGTTATATACATTCTGAGTAGAAAGATGATCGATCCTCTAATAAGCGTATCAATCAAACAAGATATCTTTCAAATGTTGGTAAAGTTTTCTAACTACCTACAACATCTCTCGATTGAATAGATGTTGCTAATATAATTGAATTCTATTCTGATGATAATCAATAAACTAGTACACTCACCTTTCTGATCTAACTAGTTCTAAAATTAAATTTAATAGCAACTTGATAATTCAATCAAATTCAAAACATCATGTAATGACTGACAAAAATTAAAATGATAAATTAATTCATGCAACTTATAATTTTTTACACAAAACATATAATGATTTATCTAATTTTCTTTTAAATATAAAATTTTCATATAAAGACAAATTTAATTTCTGAGATATAGTTCTAATAGTAATCAAACTTTAATTGATTAGCGTAAGTGAATATTCAGAACCAATCGGATTAAACGCTGAAGGTTGTGTTAAGCCCATAATGAAGGTATGAGCAGTATGTACATGCCCGACAGGCATAAGTACAATAACGTACAATATATCACTCTTGCCATATAATAATATCAAGAGAAAGACTATATATAAGTGAACTCATTCAAAATTCAAGTAGATTGCGCAACTAACAGAAAATTTAGACACAATGTTGTCTTTAAAGACAAGATATAGAGGTAGCATTTAAAATTGTTATACTTAATATTATATTTGTATATCTTGCTCTAGTTTGAAGCAAAAATTTTATCTCTTGGAGGAGGTTTGAGATTAAGAACAGGAAGCTCGTAAAGTGACTTGAAGTGTCTAAAAATAATGCTTTCCTTCAAAGAACTTGCTATTTAAAATAAGACTAAAATGAGAGACAAGAGCTTTGCATTAATAATGAGATTCCAAGAAACTTTAATATTTCATAAAGTTTTAGTCCTTTTAAGAATTTCAATTACAAATAAGCATATACGAAAGGTGTAACTAGTTCACAATAATTCACATTAGTATATTGAAACAC